TATTGTTGATTTTTGGGCTTCCCTACATCCTGGCAAGCTCGGCCATGTATGCCACTTCTGTATTTTGATAAGCTATTATTGAATTGAATTTTTACTGTGTTTTTCACCTTCTTTTTCCCAAAGGGGGCCGATCTTTCTTTGGCCCCATGGTGGGTTATTTCACAGTTGCACTCAATAAAAAAACACCCCAAAAAAAAAGGATGAATGCGCGGTTTTTCACTCGACAAGTGACAAAAGGGAAGACTCAGGGAAACCTTTCCCGGTGGTGGAGGCATCTGATATGGTGATTTTTTGAGTCGTGTACGAAACCCGGGGTAAAAATTCACTGAAAAAAGTGGTCGAAATCTGAACTGTTGATATTCAGACCAGAAAAAAACTGGAGTTTTTCTGACATATATGTTAATTTTAAAAAACCCTCACTATATTTACCACTCCATCTCCGGCCACCAAGGATGTTTTAATATTACACCATACCCTTTTTTACAGTAGTAAAATAGCCAAATATTTAAAATCCAGTTTGGTCTTGATCCTGAATTACCTGAAAAAGAAAAATTTTTCTGTATGGTTTAAAAGGCTCTATTATATAAAAAGATGTATCCAATAGATGGATGAAGGTCTTTTTTATGCCCATGAAAGCAGGAAAAAGGGTAGACATTACAATGACATTCAAAAGGTATTTCAATCAATACAGTTTTTTATTCTTTATTACAAAAAATTTACCAAATTTTTATTCTTTCCGGGGAAATTGGGGACATACTAGCTTGCTTTTGAACATAAGTTAATTTCCCGAAAAAAATAAGACGTGTGGAAAAACTGTGATTTTCTAAACATAAACTAATACTGTTATATGTTTAGTAAATTTTATGCATTTCACAATCTTTTTCTAGTTCTACGAAGCACAAGAGAAGGATGGGGTGCAAGAGCCATGCAAGATGAGATATTAGCTATGCAAACAATAGCTATTACACTGCAAACAAGCCATGCAAAGCAACATTATATATATATAGTAATTATATATATGTATATAGCATCTCATCAGATATGTACACAATATGTAAAGTTATGTAAGCATCTTCAGTTACATCAAAGATTAACTGTCAGTGAACTATGCCTAACCGTGCCTAAGTACTTGTAATTAATCTGAGTGGTGGGAACTAAACTTCCCACACTGTACTTTAGCAGCAATTCTGAATGGCATACAGGTTACTGTGGAAAGCCATGAACATAATTTGAGTGGTCTGCATTAACTATTAGTTTTCAGTAGATAAAAACAATTATATTGTGCTTCTTCTTCTCATGTACTTGCACTGAAACTAAATACATGTACTAAAACACTCAAATTAGAGTCAAGCCAGTAAATTTATAAGAATCTCTTTTTGTTTTCAGTTGCTGTAATGTATTTGATGCAGTTTAAATATATCTTTACAACAGAAGAGAAATATGCACTCACAAATTGTACCTTTCATTAACCCATTTATGTACATGTGGTATATTTATTTTGGATCAATCAAAACTAATTTACATATTTAAAAAAAATCTGACGATTAATTTATCTGTTTGGGAAAACAATCACCTAATTAAATATATGAAGATTTTAAAAAAATCTGTATGAAATGTTTATCTGTCAGGCAAAAGTTTTGCTGAAGCTGCATTTCTCATGGCAGGGAATGTGTGAATAGCAATGACAAGCTTTCATACATAGAGGAAATTATGTTTTACTTAATTTAAAGCACTGTGATTATGGTCATCCTCAGTACACTGATAAAATCAAAAACAAGTTATGTTCATCATTGAAGGCCTGGAGCCTTGTTCTAAAAAAACAAATTAACTGGGATTTAGTTATATTTGTTCATTGGAATCAGAAAAAGAACCACACATATTGTATGTAAAAGTAAGAGGAGGAATATATCAGTGACTCAAGGATTTCAGTTTGACACATACTATATTACATGAAACTGTTGATTTCATTGTGATATTTCTCTTTGATGAGATTATGGAGTTTAAATAAATTTAATTACACAGGTAATGTTCATGGTAAGTATATAGAAGTGAAGGCATGATATTAGTTTTAATAGCCTGAAAAATTGCCAAAGATTTTAAGACAATGAAATGAAGAAAATATCAGGAACATGAAAATCTGGAAAATGTGTTTACCTTCACTTATGTATACTAAAGGAACACTGGTCTGTAATAGTAATAATGCTATTAGATAAGTGCAGAAATTAGGTTTGATTTCTCTAAAAAATATATACTGTATAAAATTTTAAAAGGGAAATAAAGTAAGAATCTGACTGAATTAGAGATTGTAATGAAAGGAAGACTGTGTGAATGTAAATTTATTAATGCATGGGAGTGGATGTACCAGCAGATGGATAAATGAAGAAAAGTTTGTCAAAGGATGCAAAAATGGAAATCTGCATAGTGGTCTCAATACTTAAATGTGAATGTGAAACATGATATTTCAATATTGTAGTAAAGGTAATAATGGAAGAAATGAAAATAAGTGCAATGGTTATGCACAAAATAAGGGATAAAAAAATTTAGAAAATAGTATATACAGTGTTATGAAACGTACAATTCAGTGTGTGAAAGAAGGGCTGGAGAGATGGATTGGCCATGTAGAAAGACTGGAAAAAGTGATAAGTACAATCTAAAAACTTGTACATCATTTGTGTATCTTTAATGTGGAAACATTTTGCCAATGAGTGGCTTCCTCAGTCCAATACAAAGAAGAATGGTTGAAGATCAGAAGGAGTCTGAGATAATCAGTGACTGAGGAAGCCAGTGGTTGGCAAAAATGTTTCCACAATAAATAAGTCATCATCCTGTCAGTTCTCTGAACCTTTTATCTAGTTTAAAGGTGTATGGGTCATCTGAGGAAGGATTATTACAAGGAGAGTATAAAGTGTTACTGTACTATTATTATTATTATTGGAAAGACTAAATTTACAGTGGTCATACAGTGCCTGGGAAATGACAGGTAATGTTTGATCCAAGGAATAGGAGGGGTAGCTCCAGTTTCTTGTATGATAGGGGTATTGATATGGTAGGCAGGGGGGGCTGCAACACCCAGCATGGTGGATCAAAGTAGAAGCACATGGTCCAACTAGATGTGCTGCTGCAAAGTGAGCTTGCCCTTGCTGCAAGCATGAAAAACATGCTGATATTAACATCTCATTTTTTTTCCAAAACACACTACTGGTAGACTGTTTTTTCAAATATAATATGCCTATTTATGGTTGCCTATAAATAAATAGTTTGTAGGTTTATGTAATTTTATTACAAATAAAAAAGAAAATTGGGTAAATATGAGTGTTCTGAAATTGACACTGGGTAATGTTAAAAATAATAAAAATAAAAATAAAATTTTGTTTATGTATGAGAAAATTAATGGTATAAAATGATAATGGATTCCCATCATGGGATTCAAGGAAGTCAGCAAAACAGACTTGAGTTTGGGAGGTTGAAACGTACAGTGCCTTATCTCAGTGTGGAATGTCTCAGTTTTAAAGTTTAAGAAAGCAATGCTCCCTTACTGAGAAACCGAGTCAATTTATATGATTTGCAGATAATAGTAACTGTTAAATAAGTCTGTACACCTTAATCAAACTTGAACCACAGGGCTAAATCTCTTAAAATTCAGCAGTAAGTAGAAGGTTTTAAACTTTATCTGCTCTCTTACATGTTTATCATGCCATATTTCCCCAAAAAAAAAAAATTATGGTGTTAGTATTGAAATTGCAAGTGTATAACAAAAAGACTAAAGAGTATGGTATGTTCAATCCAGTGAAGGTGATAAATGTGAATAAAGAAACCTTTTAAGAACTGTAAGAAGTATAGGCAAGAGCATAAGAACCATGCTCACCAAGAGTAGTGGGTTGAGCAGGCAAGCATGCAGGTGGCAATATTTGGGTAATTGCATACAATGAGTTATATGTTCCTGCTTAGGCTATAATAAATGTTTTGATTTGGTTATAATACATCCTTAGATTACTTGCATATTTAACAATAAGGGAGTGCAGTACATGAAAAAAGCACACTGTAAAAACATAATGTACAAGTCCTATATTCAGTGAATCTCACTTTGTAACTCTATATTATTTGTTTAATATAATCCTTTGTATACAATTTTGATCTTCTAATACTCTTACTAATAAAAAATTCTTTCAGGGTTATAAACACATTTCTAAAATAATAAAAAAGTGTATGACTTATGTGGGAAATATTTGTGTTTAAAAATCATGGAAGCAGCTAGTATGTTAAGCTAATTTTTTTTTTCTTTGAGCTTCACATCAGTTCATCATTTACTAACAATGGCTTTCCTTATACCTATAATGCCATTACAAGAATCCTCAGTACACAATACAATTTATAGACAATTAAATTATTAATATAGTACCTCAGTTACTGCTTCATTATAAAGTATGTACAGTATAAAGCTTTACTAACATCTTCACCAGTTTTAATCTAGAAGTGCTTGATATGGAGAGTATGGAAGAAATGGCCAGCACATTCAGTATTTCTCTACTAATTACATTCTAATAGTTGTCTCTTACAATATATGAATATAAAAATCTTGTACTTAGTATAATTGTGTTTATATGCAATTAACTATTTGAGATTGTGTGGGTTAAATTATGAGTGAATTCACCTGATGGTCACTGAATCTACTGGACTCGAAGGTGACAGTGATCATGGTCTCTGTTTCTTACATTAAAGAATGAAAAAATTGATCAGTCCAAAGTGAGAAACCACTCAAAGGGAAAATATGAAACATGCCTGAGAGATTTGTAAACAGTATTTTGGTCTCAGCAACCCACTTCAGTGGGTCTCTAAGACCAAAATATACAGGTCTCTCTTATTTGTGTTTAATATTTCTAAGTGGTTTGTTTCCTCACTTTCCACTCACTCTGACTGCAAATTTTTGTAGTGTGTTCAAAATTATCTATGGAAAAACTTAGCAAATAAAAATGCAATTATCCAAGGAAGAAACGTCTTACCTCACGAGTGCTTCTGTCGACGATTTCATCTGTAGTGAGGCGGCGTTTTACAAGATGAAGCTTGAGCAACTTTCCCAGCTTATCTTTGTTAGCTATCACCTACATTAAATTTATTAGAAATATCAACATCAATTTCAAAATAAAGGAAAGCAGATAAAAGCATAAGTAATTTTAAAAAGTTTTCAAAGTATAATGAAGTACTGATGGGAGGAGGATTATAAAAAAATGCTGGATAATGCATTGATTATCTAGCAATGACAAGAGAGAGAGATTCTCATAAATGCTGAATAATTCATTGATGGGGAAGGAAATTCTCATAACTGCTGGATAATGGATTATTTGGCACTGATGAGGAGGGGAAACTCATAAAGGCTCGATAATGCATGGATTACCCAGCATTGATGAGGAAGGGGATTTTCATAAATGTTGGATAATATATTATACAGCACTGATGAGGAGAGGATTCTCATATATGCTGGATAATATATTATTTGGCACTGTTGGGGGAGGGAGGTTTTCATAAATGCTAGAAAATGCATAATTTTTTTATGGTTTCTATTTCTTGCACATTCCTTTTCACCATTATCTGTTCAAGAAATCTATACATCAGGGAAGAGAAAGAGGAGGGGAAGGGTATAGAGGGAGGAGAGGAAGAGGAAGGAAGGGGGGATATTAAGAAAGGGAGGCATGTAAAGGAAGGCAAGAGAGGTATAGAGAAAGGAAGAAAGAGAGAGAGGGGAAGGAAGGGAGGAGGAAGAGAGGGAAAGAGTGAAAGGGAGAGGGACTGGTACAGAGGGAGAGGGTGATGCACAAAGCTGCAAGAGAATGCAAAGATACAGCACAAGAAATAAAAACTATCTGACATTCCACATTTTTGACTCAGCCTAAGTTGAAACCTCACACACATAAAAGGCCTAAATATATAGCACTCACTCCCAGAAGCTTCTAAAAATTTCCCTGTCTACCATCTTCACAAAAAAAAAAGTAAAGAAAAAATGATTTACATCATGACTGGTTTTGTCTTAGTTATATCCTACCCCTCTCTTTCCCCAAATTTAACTGCCAGTATTGTTTTGTCACTTTCTTCTTCCTTGTACTAATATTGCTGTTGTATAAAGACAAAGTTTTACTGCTTAGGGTAATCATTATATTAATAATCTTGTCAGGCAAAAAAAGTTATGTCAACTCTAGCATTCATTTAATTAAACCTTAACTTATCAGTTATGTGATTCTAAGTTAGCTCTAAGTTCATTGTAATTTTAAGTTAGCCTTATGTTAGTCATAATTTACCCAAAATAGGCTACAAAACTAGGGAGCTTTTCCTTGTGTATTAACCGTAAAATATTGCAGTGCAATATCTGTCAACCTACAGTATGTATCTTTAGGGAAATAATAAATTTTTTTAGTGATGATAAAATGTATTAAAAATTTTATTGGTTATGGATAAAATATATTACAAACCTGATTAAGACGTTCACTGTTGACCATATTAAATGCTTCATTGGAAGGAGCAAATAGTGTGAGGTCCGGTTCCACAACAAGTTGATGAGTCATGTCTTGGTAGTGTTCACGAATAAGTGTGTAGAACTTACTCAGCTGTCCTCTCGTTTCCTAGTGAAAGGTACACTCGATTATATTTGCTTACAATCATATGCTGTTGAGAAATCAATTTCTGTTTAAAATCAATGGATTTGACCCACTTATAGATTTGTTTATGCTAAGCCCTGTAACAATGCAGGCATTATGTTCCTGAGAATTGGTGTGTAACAAAATCTTATTTTAAATGAGTACAGGTCCTCTATCACAAATCCGGCATCATTGGGACCTGTAGTGTGCTGGATTACTGAGTTTGCCAGATTACAGAGTGGTTAGGTTAGAATACACTTAATAAAATTAACCAACTTGACTTACACAAAGTTCATTGAACATCGGCAAAAATCGAACATTTCCGCTACTTTGAGCTCAATTTCAAGGTACTTTTGTCATGAAAGCAATCAAAATCATGTCTATTTCTGTAATATATCTTCCATTCTATCAAATAGTCCAAAAAAATGAGAATACAACCATACAAACCATACGAAAATATACTGCAAAGAGGCGGCTAATGGCTGAGAAGCGAACTCCCTTATTTATCGTCCGTCTTTTTTAATTTTGTTGTACGTAAAGAAGCATCTTTCCATCATACATTGCCCAAGTTTCAATGAGATAGACCAACAAACAACTGAGAAAAAAAAAACATTTACCAAAAATCATATATCAAGTGTGACCATGGCGTAATAGCGCACAAAATGCGTGCTAAAGGAATAACAGGAAAAGTCGGTCGATGGATCTATAATTTCCTCACTAACAGAACAGAGAGTAGTAGTCAACAGAGTAAAGTCTGAGGCAGCTAGGGGTGAAAAGTCTGTTCCACAGGCACGTATTTGCCCCCATTTTGTTCCCATCCTCATATTGCATAGACAAGGAGTCAGACACACACCGTGTTTTATTTGCAGTGACACCCGAATCTGTGACAGGTCTTCCATGCGACAAGCAAGGCTCCAGGCAGACACAACCAAATCTTTCAGTGGGCTGCAAAAAAACAATATGAAGTTCAATGTGAGAAATTTAAATTTATCAGAATGGAAAACACGAGGAAATTAAATTTCATCAGATACAAAACAAATTCGGGCCACAAAAAAGAGCAAACACCAACGCAAAGATGGGAGTGATCAGTCGGGGGGGATTCACCTTAAGGACCAAAACATTGTATCAATCGATCTGCTAGAAAAATGACAGGGTGGATAATGAGAAACCCTTTAAAACTAGGGAGGCCAAGCCCATGATGCATTTCAGGGCACTTGTTCTATCTAGGGTGGAATATTTGCTGACATAAACACCTTTCAAGGCAGGTGAAATTTTGGGCCTAGAAAAAGTACAAGAAACCCTTTACGGCGCTTTATAACGGAGATAAAACACTCAATTATGGGGGCGTTGAGGTTCCTGAAACCCGTATTCCCTGGAAGCAGGCAGGAGAGATACATGATTATATACACCCGAAAATCCTAGAGGGACTAGTACCGAACTTGCACACGAAAATCACTCACTACGAAAGCAAAAGACTTGGCAGACGATGCACCATCCCCCCAATGAAAAGCAGGGGTGTCACTAGCACGTTAAGAGACCATACAATAAGTGTCAGGGGCCCGAGACTGTTCAACTGCCTCCCAGCATACATAAGGGGGATTACCAACAGACCCCTGGCAGTCTTCAAGCTGGCACTGGACAAGCACGTAAAGTCGGTTCCTGACCAGCCGGGCTGTGGCTCGTACGTTGGTTTGCGTGCAGCCAGCAGTAACAGCCTGGATGATCAGGCTCTGATCCACCAGGAGGCCTGGTCTCAGACCGGGCCGCGGGGGCGTTGACCCCCGGAACTCTCTCCAGGTAAACTCCAGGTATGGCAAACCCAAGCCAGGTACTGGAAATAAGTCACTTTGTCTGACTTTTTTGGGTTATCCTAGGTTCTCTATACATACACTGATATGTTTACCTGAAGTTTACCTGGAGAGAGTTCCGGGGGTCAACGCCCCCACGGCCCGGTCTGTGACCAGGCCTCCTGGTGGATCAGAGCCTGATCAACCAGGCTGTTGCTAACCATACCCCCGGCCGGGATTGAACCCGTGGTCATAGAGTCTCAAAACTCCAGCCCATCGCGTTAGCCACTAGACCAGCTAGCCACAATAAGATTCATCCAACTAGGTATATTTCTACACCATAGGAAGGTTAGCACAGGCACCACTGTGACCACAAATGCAAGTTTTTACAGACGAATCTCCAGCTAGCGTGGCCGTGATGAACTCTAGCTCAAGTCCCTTCACTGCCGTCAACATGACTCAAGAAATCGTAATGACACGATTGCAAACAAACCATACCCCCGGCCGGGATTGAACCCGTGGTCATAGAGTCTCAAAACTCCAGCCCGTCTCGTTAGCCACTAGACCAGCTAGCCACAATATATACCTAGTTGGATGAATCTTATTGTGGCTAGCTGGTCTAGTGGCTAACGCGACGGGCTGGAGTTTTGAGACTATGACCGCGGGTTCAATCCCGGCCGGGGGTATGGTTTGTTTGCAATCATGTCATTATGATTTCTTGAGTCAGGCTGTTGCTGCTGGCTGCACGCAAACCAACGTACGAGCCACAGCCCGGCTGGTCAGGAACCGACTTTAGGTGCTTGTCCAGTGCCAGCTTGAAGACTGCCAGGGGTCTGTTGGTAATCCCCCTTATGTATGCTGGGAGACAGTTGAACAGTCTCGGGCCCCTGACACTTATTGTATGGTCTCTTAACGTGCTAGTGACACCCCCTGCTTTTCATTGGGGGGATGTTGCATCGTCTGCCAAGTCTTTTGCTTTCGTAGTGAGTGATTTTCGTGTGCAAGTTCGGTACTAGTCCCTCTAGGATTTTCCAGGTGTATATAATCATGTATCTCTCCCGCCTGTGTTCCAGGGAATACAGGTTCAGGAACCTCAAGCGCTCCCAGTAATTGAGGTGTTTTATCTCCGTTATGCGCGCCGTGAAGGTTCTCTGTACATTTTCTAGGTCAGCAATTTCACCTGCCTTGAAAGGTGCTGTTAGTGTGCAGCAATATTCCAGCCTAGATAGAACAAGTGACCTGAAGAGTGTCATCATGGGCTTGGCCTCCCTAGTTTTGAAGGTTCTCAGTATCCATCCTGTCATTTTTCTAGCAGATGCGATTGATACAATGTTATGGTCCTTGAAGGCGAGATCCTCCGACATGATCACTCCCAGTTCTTTGACGTTGGTATTTCGCTCTATTTTGTGGCCAGAATTTGTTTTGTACTCTGATGAAGATTTAATTTCCTCGTGTTTACAATATCTGAGTAATTGAAATTTCTCATCGTTGAACTTCATATTGTTTTCTGCAGCCCACTGAAAGATTTGGTTGATGTCCGCCTGGAGCCTTGCAGTGTCTGCAATGGAAGACACTGTCATGCAGATTCGGGTGTCATCTGCAAAGGAAGACACGGTGCTGTGGCTGACATCCTTGTCTATGTCGGATATGAGGATGAGGAACAAGATGGGAGCGAGTACTGTGCCTTGTGGAACAGAGCTTTTCACCGTAGCTGCCTCGGACTTTACTCTGTTGACGACTACTCTGTGTTCTGTTAGTGAGGAAATTATAGATCCATCGACCGACTTTTCCTGTTATTCCTTTAGCACGCATTTTGTGCGCTATTACGCCATGGTCACACTCGTCGAAGGCTTTTGCAAAGTCTGTATATATTACATCTGCATTCTTTTTGTCTTCTAGTGCATTTAGGACCTTGTCGTAGTGATCCAATAGTTGAGACAGACAGGAGCAATCTGTTCTAAACCCATGTTGCCCTGGGTTGTGTAACTGATGGGTTTCTAGATGGGTGGTGATCTTGCTTCATAGGACCCTTTCAAAGATTTTTATGATATGGGATGTTAGTGCTATTGGTCTGTAGTTCTTTCCTGTTGCTTTACTGCCCCCTTTGTGGAGTGGGGCTATGTCTGTTGTTTTTAGTAACTGTGGGACGACCCCCGTGTCGATGCTCCCTCTCCATAGGATGGAAAAGGCTCGTGATAGGGGCTTCTTGCAGTTCTTGATGAACACGGAGTTCCATGAGTCTGGCCCTGGGGCAGAGTGCATGGGCATGTCATTTAACGCCTGTTCGAAGTCATTTGGCGTCAGGATAACATCGGATAGGCTTGTGTTAATCAAATTTTGTGGCTCTCTCATAAAAAATTCATTTTGATCTTCGACTCTCAGTCTGGTTAGCGGCTTGCTAAAAACTGAGTCATATTGGGACTTGAGGAGCTCACTCATTTCCTTGCTGTCATCTGTGTAGGACCCATCTTGTTTAAGTAGGGGCCCAATACTGGACGTTGTTCTCGACTTTGATTTGGCATAGGAGAAGAAATACTTTGGGTTTCTTTCGATTTCATTTATGGCTTTTAGTTCTTCCCACGATTCCTGACTCCTATAAGATTCCTTTAGCTTAAGTTCGATGCTTGCTATTTCTCTGACCAGTGTCTCCCTACGCATTTCAGATATATTGACCTCTTTAGCCGCTCTGTTATTCTTTTCCGTCGCCTGTAAAGGGAGCGCCAGTCTCTTTCTATTTTACATCTACTCCTCCTTTTTCTTAGAGGAATAAGCCTTGTGCATACATCGAGTGCCACCAAGTTAATCTGTTCTAGGCATAAGTTGGGGTCTGTGTTGCTTAGTATATCTTCCCAGCTTATATCGGTTAGGACTTGGTTTACTTGGTCCCACTTTATGTTTTTGTTATTGAAGTTGAATTTGGTGAATGCTCCCTCGTGACTAGTCTCATTATGTTGGTCTGGGGCTCGACGCATACATGTCTGAACCTCAATTATGTTGTGATCTGAGTATATTGTTTTTGATATGGTGACATTTCTTATCAGATCATCATTGTTAGTGAAGATGAGGTCTAGTGTATTCTCCAGTCTAGTAGGCTTTATTATTTGCTGGTTTAAATTGAATTTTGTGCAGAGATTTAAAAGCTCGTGTGAGTGTGAGTTTTCATCAGAGCTGCCTCCTGGTGTTATTACTGCAACAATA